ATCGCTTCATCATGTTTTCAACAATTGTCTTAGCTGAATTCCAAGGGGTTTAACTTTTGGAGATCTAAATTTTCTGAAAATTTAAGCTGGTTTTTGTCACTATCACTAAGTGAGTTTTCGCCTTAGTTTTGATTTCAAACAGACAAATATTAAAAAGCACTAAAAAGCAAGAGAAAAAATGATGCTTCCAAAACCAACACAAGCATATAGAAGTTAGATAATTTTTCTTGTTATTTATTTTGTGAACTCAGGTAATCTGCTTGTTGGACAGAAAACAGAACTCAGTCCCCTGTTAATATAACCCTGAGCACAAGCCTCCTGAAATGAGCAGAAAGTCTCCTGGTTTTAGCAGGCTGAGTAACTAGAAGGTAATGCAATGCAGGATACCATCAACAACATACATCCCCTCTGGTATGCAGCATCCTGGGCTTATGGGCAACTCAAAGGGCAAAAAGATTTTGCAATCCCCAGAGCCCTTATGGGACTTTCAGCTAAGGAACACTTTGTAACTGGGTGATGGCATTTCTCTGGGTATGTGCCATGATGGTGCTTCCCAGCCTGACAACATAAGAGGGAACTTCAGTGTTCATCTTCAAATAGGTTAAAAACAAAAAAGCACAGCTGTTTTCTTATTTGGTAGTAAAGTTAATTACCTACATACCAAAATAATGAAGAAAAAAAAAAAATCCACTGAGATTCTCTGCAAGTTGCTTTCCAGAAAAGCAACAGAAAATCTATGAAGAAAAATAATAATTAGATTCTTAGCACAACACAATGATACAGAATTTCCCAAAAATAAAATAAATTAAAAAAAAAAATCCAAGAGGGCAATCATAACAAATCTAAATAAACTAAGATGCAAGACAAATGCAAATATAATTATCTATACCATACAGCATTGCAGCTTTCCAGTATTTAAATGGGTCTTATAAGAAAGATGGGGACAGGCTTCTTAGCAGGGCCTGTTGCAAGGGTTTTCAACTAAAAGAGGGCAGACTTAGACTAGAGATAAGGTAAGAAATTTTTCACAATGAAGGTGGGGAAATCCTGCTACAGGTTGCCCAGAGCGGTGGTCGATGCCCCATCCCCGGAAACATTCCAGGTTGGACGGGGCTCTGAGCAACCTGCTCTAGTCAAATATGTCCCTGCTCACTGCAGGGGGGCTGGACTAGATGGCCTGTAAAGGTCCCTTCCAACCCAAAGATTCTATGATTCTAAGATATGGAAGTTTCCTCTAAGAACATTCTTATAATATCACCATAATACCTTAGTGGTCTAATCAACATATGCCTCAAAAAAGCAGCCAGTCAAAGCTGACCCTAAGTGCAGGAACTGTCAAAACAGTACAGAGAGATACTCACCACATAAATAGCCAAAAGAGCGAAAAAAGGCCACAGAAATAACACAGTGACAAAGGGTTTCATTTTCTTCATGTTCAATTTTAGAAAGCTAGATGACATCTAAAGCAAAAATGTCACAGAGACAGTTGTATATAACAGAAAGGTGTCATCAGCCTGGCAGAGGCTGAAAATTATATCCCCCATCCTATTAACATTCACAGGTCCAAGACCTGTATCCAATTTTCTTCTCCAATTAGTAAAAGGAATACATAAAATACATTTCAGATGAAAATCGCAAGCTTTGGGGCGAGCACAAAAGGAGTGTGAAGAAGTACAGAAGTGCATAGAAGGCTGTCTGAAATAAGAATTCAGCCAGATCAAAAACTATTGACAAGACTGAAGAATGAAAAAATTATCCTAATTCATTCCTTCACACAGTCTTATACTTGCTTGTATCCATGACCGCAAAACACTGAAAACTCTCCAAGAAGCGGAGAACAATTCAGTTGTCTTTTTGTAACAGAGGTTTGGAAGGGGGGAATGATCAAGATGACCACTAAAACCCTGAAATGACTCAATGCTGCAAGAGATTTAGAAAATGGGGCGGTGGAAGGGAACAGGAAGAGCCATCCCCTGCAAAGTAGTTTACAGCCTCCTCCCCAGTAAATTTAGCAGACATATTGTATTAGAGACAAAGAAAGTCAAGTGAAGGAATAAAAATAAACAATTCCCCTTAGGAATTATATGCAAGATCGCTTTGTAAAACAAACAAACCAACCAACTGCTTTTCTCTGAAAAAGCAAAAGGTCACCAATCTTGGTAAAAATATAGCTATAAAAAGTTTTGGCCAAATATCAAAGAGCATGTTTACAAAACGGCCACATTCATTGTGACACTAACCATTCAAACTTGACAATAGATTTCAGGAGAGAACAGGATGCAACGTCAAACATTTGTTATCACATTATTTTCTTCAGCTCCTCTGCCCAGAAATTACATCTAGACTTCGCCCATCTTCCAAACCTCACCAGAGACAAGTCAGATATGGGCTGGAGGCTGCACCGTTTTGACCACGCCTCATAAAGCACTGTGACAACCAGCCATGCCCAAGACACATGGAAATGTCACATTCTAACAGATTACATAAACCCCAGCTGAAGTACATCATTTAACAGAGCCAGCTGTCCAAACTGCACAGACATTGCACAGACACATCTGGACAAATAGTGCAGAGCCTTCCTGGAGCCAGGCTGGGGCAGGGGCGATACCTGTTGCACCCGAGCACGACAGCCAACTTAGACAAGTGGAGTACATTCAGCACTGCTTGAGAGAGTGGGACTTACTGTGCCCATGTATCTTAAATGTAGCATGCAGACATAATAGGTTCATCTTCCAAAAATCACTGGACCAAGTAAGCGCTACATGTAACGTACTCTATTTCCTCTCAGGTTTCAGACACAGGGGAAAGAGACGGCATCCAGCAGCAGGCTCCCACAGCCAGAGTTATGCCTTCTGTCTGCAGTCTGTTCTCGAGATGGACCCAAGAACCTCAGCCACCTGAACGATGCTGAATGAGTACACGTATCCTACAAGCTGTACAGCAGACACTTTTCATCAAAATTACTTTTCTGGGACAGGAGAGACTGGAAGGAAAATGCAAGTTTGAAATGTAAATTACCAAGAAACACACTTCCATTTCAAAAAGCCTGATATATCAGTTCCAGGGACAGATATTTGAGACTTGACTTAGAGAATGGGAAAATTAATAGGGCTATAAGCAAGAAAAGAAAAATCCTCCCTTCAAAAAAAAAACCCCAGCCCAAAAAAACCCAAAAACCCACATATTCATCTATTTTGGATTTATTGCTGGAACACATGCAGTGGAAATTAATTCATGCCTGTTGTGCTTTAAGAAGTGCTACAGACAATGATGTTTAACACATTTAGTACATGATGGATGTTGCCTTTTCTGTCCAGGAAGCAAATGTGAAGTTAGAGAAAGTGCGCTATGTTCGCTTCCTGGAGTCAACATATCCAAGGCTGGACATCCTCCAGAGATGTGCTTCTTGAAACATCTGTACATTGAATATTTGACCAGTTCCAGGCCAAGGGATTTAAACAGAGAGAGAATAAAAGGCAGTTTCCCCAAGCCAGCCACTTCTGCTGCAGGTTGTCAGTGACAGGGGGGTTTGCACCGTCAGAACTCCATCACGAAGAAACGCTGCACTGCTGTACAAAAGCATTCCGTATCAGTGCACCTTTGGATACCTCCTATTCAGCATGAGCCACCTTTTACTTTTGGACAATTAACTGCATCAGTAAAAACGCCTGATGTACCTATGACTGATGAATATGAGATAGCAACAACGTTCATTTTTAACTGTTTTTTTTTTTCCCTCCAGACTGCTAGCTTTTTTGCCCCACCCTCTCAGTGCTTTGGGTGAAACAAAGAGGAATGTTTTCTTTTAAGCAGTGCAGGAGGAAAAGGTTACCTTGTTTACAAGTAACTCTGGAATACAAAGAACTACTTTGTCTTTATGGAAGAGGCAGTAAAGGTAGCAGTTCTTAAGGGCTGAGGTTTCCAAGGCTGCTTTTGTTGATGTGACCGTGACCCAGAGGCCTGTCTGCAGCACTGGGAAGCACAGCCAGCGAAGGGCTGCTGGCTTCAGGGTCAGCGCGACTGCCTCTGCTCCCAGAGAGGACAGGATCCAGAGCTATGGTTACAGTGTGTCTGAAAGGATAGGCAGAGGAAGAAACTGGGTAGAAATTAACAACACAGAAAGCTTTGTGTGTAAGGAGATGGCCAACGGACAATAGTACGTGATCTTACTGCTGAGAAGGAGATACTTTTAAACTACTTAAACAAATGTTTTTTCTTGCACTTCATTAACATTCTGCCACAGCTGCAGGACTACCCCATGTGGAATCACTCTGCTATCTTTTTTTCTTCCTATGCTCAGTATTATTACTAAATAACTTCCATTCATGCATTTTCCATCAACCCACAGTAATCAATTACAGTGATTCATAGGCAATGAAATCCGATTTTTTTCTATACTTAAAGTGTTTAACACTGAGAGAATATCCCTCTTATCCAAAAGCACTCCAGATATAACTGATTTTGCAAACCTTCTAAAAAACTAATGAACTATTTCCCTTGAAAAAAGGCAAATAGGACAAGAAAAACTTGTAATGAAACATGAACAGTAAGATAAAGAAAGTGACTTTCCTGAGGAATGAAAAGGAATGTGAGAGATGAGATGACATTTCCATGCAAGCTAGTAATTACTATGGTAAGAAGAGCTACCTACTACCCAGCATTGTATTTCATTTATACTGCTTTCAGAATGTCATTGTTTCAATTTTTAAAAAGATTTTAAATAATGCCAATAATTAGGATGTCACTACACAGCTTACCCACCCATCCAACATTTAATTTCTATGCTGTGATAAAATAAATAATACATGTTTAAAAAGCATACATGAAAGTATTAGTCCTTTTCATAAGAAAACACAAACCTTACTTGAGATTTACAAGGTGTTTGCTGTAGCATATATAATGATCAGAAACACTAAAAGCCACTGGATTGTAGCACTGGAAATTGGTAAACTATCAACTGTTACGCAGGAGTTAAGAAAACGTATGACTAAGTGGCCTACCTTCACTGCCAAGAAGTTGAGACCACTTTCATGAGCCAAAGCTTTTGCTATCATTGTTTTTGAGCACCCAGGAGGTCCGTAAAGCAGCACACCTTTTGGAGGCTGGATCCCCATTCGGATGAAGGAGTCAGGATGTTTGAGAGGCCATTCAACTGCCTGCTTCAATTTCAGCTTGACGTCTTCTAGTCCTCCTATGTCTGACCAAGATACCTGCAAAGCAGACCATTTTGCCGAATTCAGACAATGAAGCAAAACTATTAAGAAAGAAAAAAAAACAAAAATGCTCTGTAAAACACAAACTGGTTATTTCATGAAGTTGTTCTTGACGACTCACTTCAAAAAGCTTTTTTAAATAAGAAGGAATTATTAATGAAGTCACACAAAGTAAAAGGGGATTAGACTTGCTTTATGCTGGAGGACGTAGATAAAACATTTTGTGTCTACTTCAAAGGTCAACAACAAAACATAGAAAAATAACAATAAAATGACAGCATCATCATACAGGCAGTCACAACTCCGTTCTCTTGGTTGTTTTAATGTGATGCTGATGCAGAATTTGTAAATTACTTTGATGTCTTCCCTGAAGGAAAGGGCTGTATGAGCTCAAGATGGTTTTATTTATAGCTGCAGAGTAAGGCCCTGATTCCAGCTGTATAATCCCACTAAGCTGAACAGGACTGAGTGTTGGAAGTTTTGGGGGTTTCTCCACTTGCCAACACTATCACTTTCATATAGGACTTGGGCACCAGAGATTTGACTAGAAACTTGAGAACAATCAATTCTCCAGACAACTATCTACAGAAAAGAAGTTCCACACACAAAAAAAAGCAATACTCAAACCCAGCTGCAGTTAAATTTGCTCTACTGAAGACACAAGGCAGCCTTGCCAGTCATATATTGGGACAGAACTAATATGTCTTATCCAAAACAGCAGACGGATCTAAAACATGCTACACCTCTCCCTGCACCATTGTCAACAAGCAAACATCCCCTGGCCTGTTCTTTGTTCTGTCACCATATGTTCCCATCCATTTCATCATGTTCAAATATTAAACATGTCAAGGTGCATCTAAATCAAATGATCTTCTGCCTTGAAATACTCTTCCAAAAATTTTCTAGATATAAATCACCCTTCAGCTCTAGAAAGTCAGCTACACTTGAAAGGCAAGCAGTATTACTAAAAGGAAATGTATCATCTTTCTCCTGACTCGAAAACTGGTGTCACTGCTGGCTTTGTACCTATTGCTATTTTCCTGATACCAGTAAACAGAGTGGAAACTAAAAGTAGAAAGGCTTCAAAAGAGGCAATTCAGTCTACTACTGAAGTAGAAGAAAAAGAGCATTTGGATGTGGTGCAAGTATTTTTGTGTAAGTCCAAGCACACTGCAAACCAAATAAAACTTCTCCCCGATTGTCAGTCTTTGACACAGAAGAAAATTACAAAGACAGCAGAGAGCAAACAGCAAAGATGAATACGCATAGGTCAATCCTCAGAAATATTCTCAGTTTAAAGGCTAACTGGAAGATGAGGAGCTGCCGATCCGCTGCCTGAAGAACATCATCTCTTTCATACCAAGAATATGTTACAAGAACTTTAGAAAAATAAAAACTATAAACAATTCTTTTTCTTAGTGACCGACAGCTTCTGGCTCTTACTTACTTTATAAGCCTGGGGAGGTATGAAATACGTAGAGCTGATCACCACTGCCTTCTAAGAAGGATCTGAGAGCAGAGGGATCTGCCAAAGGCAGATTCCCTTATGGGGAAAAAGAAAAAACAAAACTAAAAAACCCAGAAAAGAAACACAAATTCAGTAAAGCTCAGAGCAAAGCGAAGACTGAATCAGACACAGCAGAGTATCCCAGTAGCAGAGGGAGGAAGGTGTTTTAGCAGGGGCATTACCAAAGCAGCATGCCAGTTCTCATAACTTGTAAGCCAACTTTTGCAACCTGCCAATATTCCCTTCTGAAGTGCTGCTTCATGCTACAAGCAAGACTAACTGCACAAAACAGATTAAAGGAAAGGTAGCAAACAGATGAAAATGGGCTGTGCACAACTGTAGTCTTGAAATGAAAGTGTTTGTATGAATTCAACAAAAACAGTAAAGGGAGAAACTCCACAACACTGTGAAAAGGAAGAGGGAAACAAGAGCATGAATTCCTACCACCCAACTTTAAGCTGGTTATCTTGGGCTGCCAGTGCACTAAAAAGAGAGAGAGATTTCACAGAGCGATTCAGCTATAGTACAACTCCCTCTTAGACATTGGACAGGAGTCTCACACCCAGTTTCTCTCTCTTTCCTTTAGAGGCAACATATGATGAGGAGAAGTCCAGTTTAGGCACCTCAGTTAAGTGCTTAAAGATAAGAAGAATCCTCCCCTCCTGCCTGAGTTTTCACAATAACAGACAGAAATCCACCTGCAGATTTTTAATTACAATGAAGCAAACGTACAAGTTTATAAAAAGTGAAGATGTCTGTCAGATACCTCACTTGCATCTTGCCACTGTTCCACGCATGCAAACCACCCCTTTTCACCCAAATTTCATGGCTGAGTAACATAATTAAACTCAGGACAGTTAGTCCCAACTCTCCCTTATTCTAAAAGCTGGTGTTTCCAAGTCAGATTTTAAACAGTGTCAGTGTTTTAAATTTCATTTAGAAAATACTTATTACCTATCCCTACAAGCCTTAATTTTACCTAGCAGCTCTGTAAACTGCACAGAACTAAATATTGGCACTTTTAGACAAGTTTTTCTTAGTGAAGTCAACATATAACATAAGCTTGTTCTCATTTTTCATTATCAGTCCTTAGTCATATCTGGTAAAGATATGGTCTAGTCATTCCTGTCATCGTGTCTTTCTAGCTAGATAAAGATTTTGACAAACATGAACAAGAACTTCTTAAAATCAATTAAGCCATCAGGAATTCCCTATAACTTTCAGCAACAGAAAGCAAAATCCACTAGCAGTACTTTGCACATATACAAAAAGCCAAGGAGAAAACACCTAAACGTTATTTTTACCCTCTCGTAAATATTCAGACCATTGCACAAGTCTTCTGAGGCATTATTCAAATGCTCTTTCAGACCCACTACATGTCATTTAACATCAACACAAGCGACAGAATTGTATAGAAAAGGTGAAGTAGGGCCACCTTACATGAAGGTTGTTTTCAGTAATCTGGAGATATACTCTGATTTTGCTTACATTGAAAATCAGGAAAGGGAGGAAAGGGAGACAACTGGGTCAAGACATACAAACAGGGCCACTAAATGTGAGCTTGTCCATTCTGAGTTTAAAAAGAAAATAATTAACCAGCCAAAAATTCAGTTAACTTATTTAGAATTTCTCTAATACAAGGTGTGGAATTCAAGCAGCAATGGTATTAAAAGCAAAAATAGCTAACAAAACACTACCTTCACGTTCTGGTCAAGTCCTAATCAAAACTCTTTTTCCCCCTTTGATTTCAAAAGGGAAAGTAGGGGAAAAAAACAGTCCACCAACAATCAAACACTCAAAAGTAAGAATTCTTTTAGATTCATATAAGCTTGGAAGAACTAGGTGGATTGGTTTTGCACACAAATCCTCAGTAACTTCCTGACTGCAATTAACACAAATTCTAGTGCGCACATTTAGACCGCTAGCTAGACTTCACCTGCACACAAACTCAAAGGAAATGTCTTGCAACATAAGCAATGAAGTGTGATACTCCGTCACTGTGGAAATGGTTTTAAAGACTAGCCTTGGGGCTGAGCTTACACGTACACAGACAGTACTCTGCTACAGTGTGTGAGACACCGAGATTTCATTACCGCTGTAATCTTTAGCTCTCCCCAGGTCAACAGAGCTCAGAATACGATGCAGAGCAACAATTCCCCAGAGGCTGTTAAGGAGCAAGCAATAAAGAAATAAAGCAGACATGCAAAGGATGTCTCATCCAGAAACTTTTGGCTGCAAAGACACAATTCTGAGTGTTGAATTACAGTAAAGAGAGTGAAACAGGCAAGCAAAATCCATAGCACTCTCAAAAATTTCAGAAAGACCCATAGGAGAGGGAGGAATGGCAACTACAGTACAACTCTCCAAAGAACTGAAGTATTAACATCCTGATTTATAATGTGCATCCCCCCCTCTCCTAAAGCCCTGCTGCAGAAAAAGCAGCCTTCTAAAAAGGTTGTAACACGTAACAAAGTTCAAGAAAGGTTCTGTAAAAATGGAAAACAAGATGCTACGTGGAACCAGGCAGCAAGTATTGTTGCCTTTGGCTTGGTCACAGCCAACGCACACAGCAACCCAGACGGCACCCGGGATGCAAGTGGAAGGACAAAAGAACACAGAAAGGAGGAACACACAAAAAAGCATGTGGTGGCATCTCCACCTCCAACAGCTCCTCCCGCACACAACCTCGCTTTCTGTCTACCTCCCCAAACTCACTTCATTTTGGCTGTTTCCCCCACCAGTAATTTTGAATATGCTTGGAATAATAAGAGCTCAATTTATGTCAAACTAGCTTGTCATAGAGCACTTTTCAGAAGCAGACTGCAAAGCATTCTGTAAAGGTTATCAAATATCCTGAGACACCAAGAAGTGACTTGCTCAAGGCCACCCATACAAGTTACTTCTAATATATCTCCTTGTTCTTTAGCTACTACCCCATGTATATGCATAACGAGGTTTTTCCAGGTTTTCAGTATGAGAAAAGACTGCAACAAAGCAATTTAGCCTAGTAGCCTTCTAAACAGCCAAGCAACTAGCACTCAATTCTAGGACCCAAAAAACAAAGACTGTTTTGAAAACTGAAGTTTTCTTTACAGCCTAGTCAAAGTTCTGCAGATTTCAGAGAACAAGCTCCATGTTGATGAAACAATTTGGAGTTCAAGACAACACAAGTAATTATTTTCATTCCATACCAGAGGGTGATACCAGCTTCAAAAAAACCAACAGCCCATAAATGGCAAAGGTGTCATTACTATAAGGGAAGGAGCCCTTCAACAAAATTCATTTACTTCTGGCTTTATTTAGAAGTTTCTTTGAACTCTTCTCATTCAATTGACACATGGCTACTGCAAAGCAATGAAATGTGGAAAAAAAAAAACCACCAAAAACAACCACCCACCATCTAAAAAGTGGAAAGATAAAAATCACAAAAGTCTCAGCTTAATTCAGCGTGTACATCAATGGTTTTACTTTAACTGCACAGCCCAAAAGCCATCCACACCAAGGGGGCTGCCAAGTGAATAATATATCTGCAATAAACAGCAAAAAGGGGATACTATTAATGTAGCTCAGACATCCATCTTCTCTTTGGAAAAAAAAAAAAAAATCTCATCGCTGATCATTCCTTTAGTGTTTAAAGTTATTTTTAGCACGTATTTTTTAGATGACAAACAATGTTAAGGTCAGACTTCAAAACATGAAGGAATGTAACCCCTGATTTTCTAACAAATTTACCCACACAATTAACTGTCTAGCTGGATAGCTTCTGTGGCAAGGAGAGCAGGGGAAGAAAGCCTATCCTTAGAGACAGAAAGTATCTGGAGATTAATCAGTACAGGATGACTTCACAAAATACCATGCACAAAGATACATTAGCCAGAAAAAACAACAACAACAAAAAAGAATCAACCAATATTTTTAGGTTTCTTGAAGAAAGCTGGACTCCTATCTGGCTCATGCTTTCTATTTCATTTCCCACACACCCAGCTATAATGTTTACATTTTGATAAGAATGCAACAAAAGGTGTAAGTAAGGCAGTTTCTGCTGGTATAAATTACTTCAGAGCACATAAGTGACATACCACAGTACACCATGGCCAACAGCCAACTAAGTGTTGAATGGGTAAGTGGCCCAAGTCAGTGGACTGAAAGCGCTGTGTTGAAAAGAGGAGTAAATTAGTAAAGAAGAAGAACTTACTGAAATTAGGACTACTAACATCAGTTCTGTGGCAAGCAAGTAATTTTAAGGCTTCCCAGAGGTGTTGCAGGACTAGACATTCAAGCATAACAATATTAAACAGCACAGCATTCTAGGACACAGCATCATCAACACAAGATGATGCAACTAATTAATGGACCTGCAGTTGCATTCATTTGGCTTCTTAGATACCTGGTTTCTACTGAAACTGGCAGTACTTCAGCATCTAATTAATTGCAAACACTAGTGCGATCAAACACACAGCTTCAACCAGAGCAGTTAAATACGCAACTTTAATGAGAGGAGCAAAAATGTAAAAATAGATTTAAGACATACCTAAAATTCCTTACTAGAACGATGCAACATAAAATGTTGCACACTCCTCTTAAAAAAATAGGTATCCAAGGAATTAGAAGCTGCATTACATTTTCTGCTAAAATCTGTGTTCCAAACAGCAAATCAGCCATGTAAATTCTCTGGATAACAGTACATTAAATGCTAAGTGAATGTCACTCAGAAACTAACAATCAGGTGAGAATAAGACATACTTATTTGCTAATAAAGAACAAATTACGCTAACCTAAGTTTAATAACAACGATAAATAGAAATATTTCTTTTTACTTGTGCATGTCTATAAACCACACAGTGGTGAAATTTTTTTAAATGCCTACACTACGCTGAAGTACATGAATGAGTTTCAGATGTTTGCAAGTGTTCCTGCATCACACCCAAAGCCCCCAGCAAGCAGCCCTAACCAGGGGGCTGCAGTTTAGATTCCTGTTGCTTGCTTCCCTTGCACTGCCATCCCGGCCACCCCGCTGCAGCATAACCAAGTTCCTTCAACTAACCCATGGACATGAACTGACTTAGGTCACTCTCCCACCTCAAATACAAATCGTAATGGAGTAATTAGCCTCGAGGCTGGTGGTGGTGGTGTAACAATGCTGGATTTACACTACTGACACTTTCATGGACAGCTGTGTTGGTATTTACAGATATTCAGACTGCTTCTGAGCATGCACAGGTACCTTTCACTTTGGAAGGCAGGTAGTTCTGCACGCCAAAATAATGGTTAAACTGAATTCTAACACCTCCTTTGGTAGGTGATATGAGAGGACACCATATCTGTTGCAGCCAGTAATTTAGATTCCACTTTAAACTCACCCCAGGCACCAAGTAGATGGCCTGAAATTTACCCTACATCTTCACAGAATATACATTATTTTGGAAAAATGTAGGTCCTGTCAGCACAAAAGGAATCTGCACTATGTTGTTACCTTCCCTTCAATAAACGAATGAATTTCAGTAGTATTTCAGTGACTCAGCTAGTGTTTAACAAATAAAAACAAGTAACAATCAAGGAAGTCACTGGCAGGATGGTTTAACGGACAACACGAGCCTGGGTAGTAGGTTGACCTGGATTCAGAACAGATTTCCCGCAGTACTTCGAGACCTCACTTCTATCTATCTTTATCGTGCTGTTTAGCAGCACTCCATCTTGCTCCAAATGGGGTGGTATTTCTAGGAGGCACAGCACAGTGATAATGACGCGAGCCCAAGAGCCAGTAGCACAATAAACAACGAGAAAACTAGTAATTCTGGTTCTCAGCAGAACTAATTAGCCCTTGCGGATATTGATGCCACTACACAATTTCCAGGAAAAGCTGTCTGGGGCCAGCCCAGGCATTTCCACCCAGCATTTCACTGCACAGCATGGACTCTTAACAAGCCAAGTGTGATATCCGAACTGGCTGTGTACAGCATCCTGTTCGCAGAATATATTTCCCATTCCTATCGTTTGGGAATAAGGTTCTACAGTTGTGCAATCTAATTCCCAGATGACTCATCTTCTTGCAATGAGATGTAAATGTTTTATTCTAGGGCTTGAGGAGCTGCTGAGAAACACCAGAACAGCAGCTCGCACAGGTGAGATTTAGTAAGATTAAATACAACATTTTCTTATGCCGAACCTTCTTAAGCCAGATCAGAGTCATCTTAAACCAGATCAGTCCCCCAGCCCAATTTACATTGGGTCTCCTACTAAACTACCATAATACGTAACTGAGAGGGCAGTGAGCAGGGTAAAGATGAACCCGGCACTGCCAAAAGAACTGTTCACATAATGACAGCCCCTGATGGGTAACTGCTTGGCAGTGATAACCTCCCCACAGTATCTAATTCTGCCCTCAGGTAAAGCCATGTAATGTCACTGAAGACATTTAGATCACAGCAGTATGAACTACATGTAGAATTAGTCAACTGCTTTACACAAACTCACAGCAACCCATCTCTTCACAGCTTCATTTCAATACACTTTGGTTACAAATCCTAACAGTTGGTTTCTGCTTAAGTTTGTGTCTGCTTCACAAAAGGCTCCAGCTTTCACGGCTACTCAGGATCTGCTTTGAGAAGACATCTTAAGCTTTTTACTCCATTAACCCCCTCAGCATATAAAACTACAGATCAGTATATAATACGCTCCTGTACTATCAACTCTTCCTAAAGTACTATGAACTTAAGCTTCTGCAAATGGGTCTTCAAAATTATAATTAAACAAACACACACACAAACAAAAAGATGATGCACAACTTTAATTGACAACTTGAGGCTTCCACTTGACAAAATTACTGCCTTTTGGTATGGCATTTCAACACCTAACTGCAACTTTTAACGTGGCTCTAAAAATCTTGCTAGCATATTGCAAAAAATAACTTACTTTTGGCACATCAACTGCCACCTCCCTCATGGCGCTGGGCCTGACATCATTCATCCCCTGCAGGAAGTCATTGAAAGCAATCGTCACTGACCCAGCCACCTCGTTGTCTAACAGGTTAGGTCTTTTCCCCAGTGCTCTTCGCAATGCGTACAAACCTATTAAAAACGAAACAAAAAAACCCCGTGGAAATATGTAGACTTCCTCCTGGTTCTCACAAACAAAAAGCGTACAACACACAACCAGACAGCAGCACTGGAAAGGAAACAATGTTCAAAGTGTCTCAATGCTGGGCCTTAGCTAGGTCAAAGAACATGCAAGACACTTCTGATGGGAGAGCAAGAAAAAGGGGATTTAATGACCACGGACAGAATATAAACTAAATCCGTTCCAAAAGACAGAATGAAACAGCCTTGCCCCTGTGTTCCCGGAGATGAAGCTAACAGGGAAAAACCTCCAAATGTCCATACATTGATCCAAACACATTTCTAAACCACAGAGGTAGAGGAATAAGGAATATTCAAGGCAAACGTTAAGTCAGCTCACATAAGACAGCTGCAACTTTGTCCATTCCTCTATTATTAGGACTGTGTTTTCCAAGCTGCTTTTAAAAACAAACTGATGATATTTCCTTTACTTTCATTGGAACCCTATTTTGCTGACTAGTAAGAGACTAGATACCTATATTTTTCTTGATATGCAACAAACGTTCCCTGCAACACTCAACAGCTCTTCGTTCCCTTCAGCGATCACGCTTTTCAAACACAGGCATAGCTTTTACCTTCTTTCTTTGGCCAAATTACTCACATACAATGCCAATAAACCTCAGTATTAATTCCTAGCTTCCCCCTATAATTCAATCCTTCAAAAGCCACACAAGTCCCACTTACTCGCACATCAGAATATCAATACTTCTCGGGCAGGATGAAGCGGTACCATCTGCAGCTCCCAGGCATTCCCCAGAAAGAGCAACTACAGCCCCTGTTGTGTAAGATGCCCAGAAGCATCACGATTTTCCCACTGTGTGATTATGCCTTTTAAGGTCTAATATAATTTGGAGTTCTATTGCTTCTATTTCCAACTCCGTTCAGTGAAATGAATCTGCTAAATATGCCACTTAGTATATTACTACATGATGAGTATAATCTATATACAGGTATACACACATCCACACGTACGCAGATACATTTATCTGTTGTCATGCATTACAAAAAAAAAAAGAGGCAGTTTGTACAACACCAGTTCACGTTGCACGACCATAAGAGACAAACATTTGTTAAATCTTTTCTATATTTAACCAAACAAAACACCACTTAGTGCTACATGAAAGGACAAAAAAAAGGGGTAAGCTGTTTCTGAAAATAGACATTGTTTTAACTTTCAGCAGATCGTTGCCTTTTTTTCTATGGAGGCACTGGTAGATGTGGACATGCAAAGTTTATGACAATGACAGGAATTCTGCATTTCCTACAATATATACAACGTGTGAAGAGATATAATATCTCCCCTGTGAAGCAGTACAGCTGGTGTCTCTCCATAAACTGCCAATTATGGCAGAGTCTGAGCACCTGCACTCAATACCCAGGCTCTTAATACAATAATGAAAAAAAGTCCGTAATTCAGATTTCCCCTTGCACAGAACATCCAGAACTAATAAGATATATAAATAAAAACATTCCATGAGGCCAAGGAGAAAAATGAAAATCTGATCACCAGAGGACAAGCATCAAATATAACTGACTCATTTTAACAACCCAGACAATTTTCATGTTATTCCTCCCCCCCTTCTTCCTTCCTCTGAAACAGTTCATCTTAAGCAAGACAATATAGATTCACCCCCCCAGATTTAAAATTTACATCCAAGCAAATAACAAACTCGACATCTTATTCTACTGTCATTGCAGCTAACACACTTTGAGGTGTGGGAGCAGGTATTGGGGTTGAGTCCTGCATTTTCTTTTTGGTGAAGTCAGTTCAAAAAAATGAAAGAATAAATAACAAGGCATGAAATTGCATCATAGAGAAAGCAAGTAACTGATAAAGATCTCTGCTCCTCACTTCTATACATATCCGTTCCATCAGGTACCAGTTTAGCCCAGTGCCCATTTGATGCATTTTAATCGTGTCATGGTTATCGCTTTTTCATGACATGAGGAATTCTTAAAAACAAACAGGTTTATTTTAAAAATTGAGAGAGAACAGCACATAAAAATGCCCAAAGAGAATACTGCTCTTAAGGATCATTACTGCCAGTGCTACTAGGGGTACGAGTGAAGTTTCAGCCCTCAGCAGTGGATTTCAAATATAACAGCCTTGATCCAGAACAGGAATAAAGAGGTCACAGCTTTCCAAACAAAGCCTGAATTCATTTCAGCATGCGCACGCACACAGGTCAGCACTTAATTGAAACAATGTTTTACATTAAAACAATAATAAAAAACAGATTGAAAAAGAAAGCATGATTCTTCCTGTTTCCTCCTGTTATCATAATCATTCTTTCCTGCACTTCAGATTGACCTCTAACCAGAGGTGGGGAAAAAAGTCTTATTAGCAGGAGAAGGATACAGCCAGTGGCTTGCTGGAGGCAGAAAAACACATCCTTGTATCAAGGCACTGAAAGATGTATTTAATGTAAGGAAATACAGAGTAGGGTGCAAAACATGCTGCTAGAAGCAGTACAGAGGCAAAGGAGGTGAAACACTACAGCAAACCCAAGTTTGTCACTACAGAAGTTATAACACAGATAAGCTGAAGATTCAGACACAGTACCTCAGAAAACAGCTTAGCTGTTGGGTATCTTTAGCATGGGAATGTTTTAGTTTGAGTACATGTCGTTGCTGTAAACTGAGCACAGCATTTGTTTCAGCTTTGCTTGCTCCTTTTCAGATGCTATTTCATTCTTTCGGATTTATGAATATCAAAAGCCTTTTGGCAGTGACTGCAGCTCAGAAGTAGGCAAGTAGGTTTCCACTGTTTTATTCCAGCACAAGTCCGGCATGAGGGGAGGAAGGACGCAGACGTGGTTAGCCTGCCACATGGTCGGCACGCCTGTATGTCTAGTAAAGGGATACATGACTGCTCCCTAGGACTACCCTGCGTGAGCAGAAGCGTCATGCAGAAGGCAGCCTTTGCAATAGTGAACACCACTGATTCTCAGTGGAGTATAAATGGAAATTCCCAGTTAAAAAAAAAATAAAAGAAACAAGCATAAGTCATGCATGATTACAAACAATGGAAAATAAACAGTTTGTTCCAGTCCAACAACTGTGTGCTCTACCTCACCAACTCATCCTGTCTGTCTAGAACAGAGGAAACCAAGTGGACAGAGGGGGAAAAAAAACAGCAGAACACCCTGTCCTGGTACAGATGATCCTTCTTTGGTACCAGGCTATGCATGAGGTCGATAGCATTGTTTCCCTGTAAGGTTTTCTTGCTCATAGCTTGGCTAAGTATTGGCACATTAGATCATAATCACAAATGTCTGAGCCTAAAAATAGACTCTATGACACCGCTATATTTGTCAGAGCCTGTGTATAATTATATACTACTGTAAGTAATAGAAAGCATCCACTCAAAATTACAAACATATATACTTTAGGTTTCAAAAACAGAATATACGCAACACTTGAGGAAATTAACTGAAGAAAACAAAACTGTTAATCATGTATCTTTCACTGCCCATCAGCTATTTCTTCCACAAATCCATCCAGTCTGGACTCACTCTACCAGAATTCTAATACCAGAATTTGTAAGTAGCTTCAAAGCAACTGCAATCTTCTTGTAACATTATTTACAAAAGGAAATGTTTCTTCTTTCCTTGCTAATCTGCCATTTCCCTCCCAAACTATTATGGACAAACCCAGAAGACGCATACCATTTCTCCCTGTGACAGCTGTGAAATCCAACATGATACTCTCCTGCATGGCTGGAAATGGAATGCTCAACAGCATATGGAAAGATTTCCGCCTCCTAATGGCACTGGATGGGGCATCTTTCTCTACTTCTAGATCTTTACGTACTATACTTCAATATTCAACAGTTTTGTGCATAGAAAAAGCATTTCATATAACTTAAAATCAATTTTGAACTTTAGAAACCATCAGAGGAGCATACCTGATTTCACAGGCAATGGATACAAAGTTATTCCAGTGTTTAGCATTTTTGAGATAATGAGCTCTTCTGCTTTATATTTGGCAATTTTTAATCAGCATGGCTTTCTGCACTCATTCATGACAACAATCTCCAAATTACACTAAGAAATCTCTTCTAGAACTTCAAGTATCAATACCACAAATCACATATATTCTTAAACATATCGTAGCCTTATAAACAAAGGGAGTTTACAGCACTTCATTACATCAGGATATTGGATGGTCAAATCCAAGGAAAAAAATAGAGAACGCGTATATGTATGTTGTTTCAAGTTATGCATAAACATATAATAACGCAGACAAAGCCCATTTGCCTTGCAGACGGAAGCCTCACCCATCACCTGGTAAGGACCACTGCTCCACTGAGACTGCCCCACAGACACATCCTCACCTGTTCAATCAACTTTCATCCTGTGCAGACCCAGCAGACCGGTTCTCCTGCCCATCACAGTGAGACAGCACTAGGTAGTAACAACAGCAGCTGCCATGAGCGATGAGGGACAGCAGGGACGTGTCTAGGCGAAGGCTCTTCTTCCCTTTACTCCCCGGACAATGGAACAACAGCACCAGGCAAGGACCTGATGCCTGTGGACCACTAGCAAGCTTTCCTCTGACCTGGGGGCAGGAACCACCATCCACATAGGTGAAAAATTCAGATGTGTTCTTCCATTTGCATCCTAAGAAACTTCTACAATTTGCAGGGGTTTTTGGTGTGGTTTGGGTTTTGGTTGGTTCGTTGATTTTGTCTTTTTTTTTTTTTTTCCTCCACCAATGTACATAAGTATGTAATCAAACACACCAACAAATTTATCAAGGAATTAAAGGAATTAAAAACCCCAAATATTCATGGATTAAACTCCTATAAACATATTTTTAAACTTATTTTTTTATTTAACCTGCATCTAAAATGCACGCCTATTTAGGAAAAATTTCATGAAGCAGAAACCTTTACTTTTGCTCTTGAAACCATATTCTGCAATCTGTCTTTAGCTGCCAACACTATATGG